GCAGGTGGTAACCCTATGGACAACTGGGAAAAAAATCCTTAAAAATGAGCACCGACTATGGGGGCTGTCAGGTTTACTAGTGGCGCTTTTCCACTGCCACCAAGAACTGGCAGTTTTCCTTTGTGCATGGATTATCCATCCATCCATCCATTGTCCAACCCGCTTATCCTACTGGGTCGCGGGGGGACGGAGCCTATCCCAGAAGCAATGGGCACGAGGCAGGGAACAACCATGGATGGGGGGCCAGCCCATCGCAGGGCACACTCACACACCATTCACTCACACATGCACACCTAAGGGCAATTTAGCAACTCCAATTAGCCTCAGCATGTCTTTGGACTGTGGGGGGAAAACCGGAGTACCCGGAGGAAACCCCACAACGACATGGGGAGAACATACAAACTCCACACACATGTGACCCAAGCAGAGACTCGAACCCAGGTCCCAGAGGTGTGAGGCAACAGTGCTAACCACTGCACCACCATGCATGGATTACATGAAGGAAAAAAAGGGTATATTTTATATATTATTCATTATTACTAGTGTCGCACATCGAGATGTACCGGTCCATTCCCAATAACTAGGAACTCCAGTTATCTTCCAACCTCCTACTTAAAAAAAGTACAGTGGTACCTCGGTTCTCAAACTCACTAGAACTCAAATTTCTTGAAAGTCGAACAAACCAGTTTGACCTAGAACTCGATCTGAATATCAGAAGTCGACCGTGAACGCTGACCTAATATAAATTGTACGCGCCGGGAAATGAGTCACACGGCACGTCTCTGAGCGGAAACAAAAGGTAACGCTTCCGTGTCAGCCTCGCATTTGTTAGCCATTGCTCACCAAAAAGTTACGTAATAGTTGTAGAAAAGTTTGCTATTCACGAACAAATTAACGAATACAGAGTAATAATAAAAATAAACAATGGACCGCATGGCATAGTCTAGCGTTGGCGCAGTGTTGGGGCATGGCTTGGGGTTGTCACAATCTACAGTTCTCCCCATCCAGTCTGTGACATAGATGCAATATGGAGGAGAACTCAAACACAGAGCTGTTTGAGCAAATCAAGCAGCTTGTCCGAAGAAAAATACTGTGTCTGTCGTTTGGACAAATTTTGGTTTTAGTGAAGACGACAGAACAAATGTAAAAACTGTGGAAAATCAGTTTAAGCGATCAGTCTATACAATCTTTTGTTAGAAAAAAATATCCCAGTTTTAATAGTTAAGCATATTTACAGTACAAACCTTGTCAGTGAACTATGAGGCCAAAAAACAAACACAAAAACAAAACAATCGTTTATTAATCATAATCGAGGTAAAATGTTCAATATGCTCAGTGATATTGATTTGAGATCATATCGCCCAGCCCTAGGGTCAATCTTGAAGTCCAAATTACTAGAGGTAAAAACAGTAATGAGAACAAATGAAATGGTTACTTTATTGTTCCTAAGACAGCAGGTGACCATGAACTATTGCCAACAAAGCTATTTTTTGGTCTTGTTCTGGTGATAAAGACAAAACACTTCATGGCAGTTTAGTCTGATGCAGTCAATGGAGTTGAGGGCTCACACAATACAGTACCTTAAAAACAAGACACCTCAAATCACTGCAGAGGGACACACAGAAAATGAGTCCAAGAATAGAGTACCACCTTCATTATTCTTACACGAAAGCAGATATCCATAATGTTTTGTTAGATAATGAAGATAAACAATGAACAAACCTAGGAAATGATATGCATAGAAGTGCATTGGGAGAATGAACATTAAGTGTATGCTCAGTGAGTACAGTACATACATTACACAATTCAAAAAATCAATAGAGATATATCAACACAATAATATAAACTCAGTGTTAATGAGCCGATAAACAGCAGAAATTCAGAAAAAGTAATGCAAAATATATTAGAAGAGAAAACATGACAACACATGCAAACTTCCCTCAGTTTCTAAGACCATGGGGTACCACATTAAACTTCTTCAAAATATACACCAGATATTAAGGAAAAAGTTTTATTATTTAAATCAGTGACATTAGAAAACAGAAATAAAACAAAGCTGATACACTGTGTTTACAAATCAACAAAAAGAAAGGTGGCTTTCCTTTTGTGCCTTATAATGAACTGCTATACTGTGGGCAAATAACCACAGCATGCAGAGCTACTTGCCGTTTTGTTGTTAGAATATCTAAATTCAATAGTCCTAGTTTACCATTACACAGATCATCTTGCAAAAAATCAAAATTCTAACTTCCACCATAATTCAACAATATATGTATACATGTGTATGTGAGTGGGGAGGGGATTTAGCTGACCTTCAGGACCGGGACAGAACTGTTCTTTGGGAAGAGACAGGGGTGGCAAGAAATGTCCTGACTGCAAGGCTTGCAGATATTTTTGCTTTGGACTAAAATGATTAAGTGATTTGAATTCTTTTACTTTCTTTTTATGTTTTCAAGGGTCAGTCAAGGAAACAAGACAGGCTATGGCACTGTCCCACCCATTTAAAAATTCTGCCACCACAAACCTCTTATTGAATCTTAACCACTACATGACCTGCCTTGGCATCTATCTCTACATTTGTTATAAGAACAAATCCCCCCCCCATTGGAATTTGGGTTGCAAAACTCTCTGTCCATTAGCAGCAGCCCTTCATCAGGGCACAGCTGGAGAAACTGGCTAGGTCATGCAATATGCAATTAATTAGAGTCCCATTAGGGAAACACTGAAATTGGGACACTTGTATGTAAGTATGCAGGCAACCTCTGGGATATGGAACTATTCCCTATTTCTAATAATTTTGACTGAACTCATTAAGAAAATAAAGAGTATTTGTGTATTTTATGCTTAAATTGAACTGCTTTATTTGGAAAAAGTCCTGTCAGTCAGTGGCTAAAATGTAAATCTGTAAGTTCTCCATGTCATTTTCAATGGAAAGCCAGTTCAAAGTGATCAGTAAAATAAAATGGAAGGGCAGAGTCCAACAAACTCCACCTAGCTGCCTCTGTGTCACAGTGGGAAACACAGATTTAACTGCCTTATTGCAAGATGAATCACAAACATGTAACAGGAATAAGTTACACTTGCACTTAATTTAAAGTGGTGTAAGCAAACATCTCAGCATCTATTTGTGTACAATGACAAACCTGTGAAGGGACATATGGGGAAAAAAGTTAAAACCACAGCTTCTAAAAGGCCACCTCCTGCTCTGTGACTAACAGAGCTAACAGTTATACCATGTTTTCAGTATGTCTGCAATGTTATACAGGTTAAAAATGAAATGTGTGGAGAAAGGTGACATCTAAGCAGTGAAATAATTCATTTACTAACCATTCCTATTAGTGTATTACTAAGTTTCAGGCCCTTTGGGCATCAATCCATTGCAGTCTGACACAATCCTTCAGAATTAATTTGGTGCCGGAACAGGCCCAGCAAATAAAAGCTTTCTAGACAACTCTGTCAGTGCAGGAATACTGGCCAGCACCAAACCACTAAATGCATGTATTTAATAAAGTCTCAGGTGGGTTGTTTTAAAGGGAAATTAAAAGACTGAACTGGCTGACCTGGCACTTCAATTAGATAAATTTTCTTGATGTGCATAGACAGTGCTCAAACAGGGCACAGAAGGCTAAAACCAAAGTTGGACTAATGTTCTCATTGACAATTGAAGCAAAGTACAGAACAGTATTATTGGTGAAAAACAGAAATATAAGGGGCGGGGGTGGAGACAAAAAAAGGCCTCAGTTCAAGATCTTGGAACTGAGGAATTAAAAGTCATTTCTGTTGATGGTTCTTGTATAAACTCTACATAAAGCAACACAATCAAGATCCATCATTGACAGAGCTGTAACAACCCCCTACCCAAACTTCAGAAATTCAGAGACTGACTTCATAATGAGAATATTAAAATGGAGACAAAGAAAGTAGGGCAATGGTGTCATTTAATCTAGGAAAAGATCAGACAGGCCTGTAGCAATGCCTCCTTCTTTTGAAGCTGATTTACATGTTTACTTCCAGTATAACATTGTGCTCTGCTCCAACAAAAAAGTAGCTTCAACCAGCAAAAAAGGAAAATGTAACATGACAAAGACCCCACTGCTTTTTATTAAAGTATGGGATTAAAAACAACCACTATAACAACAGAACAGTTAATTTCTAAAAGATGCAGAGAATAACCCATTTCCTTGCATCAGCGCACATTACTGCTCATATCGTCACGGCAGTAGTTAAGCATGACGTCAGTAAAACAGGGTGAAGTAGCGGGCTGATGGCTCCTGGATTCTTTCCTTGGTGCGTTATGCGTATCGCTTGTTCCGCGATTTCACCCAGATCATTCACCAATTTGACACTTAGAGATGAACAGCATCGTGTACCGGCTACATTTTCAGCCAGCATCAACTGTTTCCATGACACCCTTCGGAGCGCCTACCTGTGTACAACAGCTCTTCCAGCGCGCGCGCACACACACCTCGTATTATGGCTGTGTGTCACTGAATCAGGAAAAGACTGATGCGTTTCTCACTAAATCCAAAATAAAAGCGTATGTCACGTTTTCCAGAAACCAAAGATTTCCACAAAAGGGGCTTGAAAGACGCACATGCATCGGATTCCTATATACCTCGACAGCCACAAAAATGAAGGGACCGAACAGCTTGCCATCCGCATCGCTCTATCTGGGGCGACTGCGGAGGCGGAGTACGGTGATCCAAGTCCATTTGCTAAAATAGGCAAATTGACGATCCAACGGATTATATGGCGCTTCACTTAAATGGTGAGAATTGTGGCATGGAGGCGCCCAAAAGTGCTTAATGTCCTGCCACGTTCATAATGATAAGGACGATGAATATCAGTGCTGGGTCCCACAGGTCGATGCAATGGACAAGACAGGTGCCCTTAATGAAACTGCTACCTGGCAAATACCAAATCCCACCCAGGCATGCTGATGCAAAACCGAATATAAAATAGCACAAAGGGATTATTTAAAGAAAAAGCCAAGCACCTACCGCCTTCCTTTGAACGGTTTGAGTGCGCCGCCGTGCGTCCCTTCCACTCCCGCTGCGGCGACACGAGACGCGGCTGCTGTCCCGCTTTCGGTCAGTGCCGAAACGACAGGAAAATTGAGGTACGGGAAGACCCTTCAGCTACGGAGCAGACTAGGCAGACGAAGAGCGGTCTGGCTTACCTACACCACCACAGCGCTGCCGCCCGCTGCGCAACAGCTACCTGTCAGCCCCACTGACACGTCCAAAACAAAACAATAACCACCCCTCCCAAAATCAGGATAATTATTTTTTGGCATGCAGCGGGTCTCAAATGCTGAGCTTAAGTGACAATACGTGGTGTGAGTGAAGGAGCGGATTTAAGATGGTTCACGCCGGGTGAAAAGTGCCGGCTGCTCCGGAACGTGACTGAAAGCCGGACCGCCGCATATCAGTGCCTTCGCGCTGTCACCCGCGCGAGCAAGCGACCCGTTTAAACTTTAAACTGCATTAACTGCACGCGCTGGCGAGCCAACCAGCTACCTGAGATGGGCTCCCGCCCTCAGTGTCCGCTTTTCCTCGCCAGGTAGAAAACGTATGTTAATTTGACTAACTCCAGGCATCAAATTCGGTGCCTCATGGCCATTCACAGCTTCCCATTTTCATCTGCTATGCGCATCGCTTAAGCCTTGGCCGTGATTACAAGCAGGCCACAGTTTCTACTCCCCCCCGAAATACGTCCACGCACCATTCGATTCACGTTGATCTCAGATGACGTCTGCAACTGCTTACAAGCATTTCATTGGCCCATGGCTCTGCCATTTCAACAAAACGTCACGAAAATGTGGTCCCAGGCCCAGGGCACCGGCCTGATTGGTCAACTGACAGTTACAGTCCCGCACCGCCACCTCGTGGCTACCACGGAGCGACGGTGAAAAAAGGAAGAAAAAAAAAGCTCAAAATCAAGATACCGGTAAAAACATATAAAGTTCATAATAAAGGCGTTTTATTTTCAATATTTAATTACCTGGGGGTTGCAGTTTAAACAATAAAACAAATCCAAGAAAAGCAGGGAGAAAATCAAAACGATTACTAGAACGTACAGATGAATCGCATCCCACCAAGTTCCTCTTGCTGGACCCTCTATCCATCTGTCTTAATTTAACAGCAAGTGGACACTGTGGACTGTAATTCTGGCCCTGTTGTAAAAGTGGGTGAAATAAAGGAAATTCACCGTTTTTTTTTGTTTTTGTTTTTTTTTTAACACAAAAAAACCTTTCCTCACCACTTCCAACCTCTATACATACTACAAATAGGAAAAAAATATTGCCGGTTTTAAATCTATAATTTACATAAATTCAGGTGCAACCCTTTTCAGTTTAGGGTCACTTCTACTACGCAGAGCAGAATTTGGGAGAGGTTGTTTTGACTGCAGAAGGCAACTTGGATCATTTAAGTTGTATTACATTGCTCACAGTTCATCCTCTCTGCATACTGCCACCCCCAGACACAGCAGCCCAAAGTAAGAAAGACTCTGAAGTGGCCCATCATGAGAGACAGCGAGTACAAGGAACACGTACAGAGACAGGAAAAAGACCTGACAGAGGACACTACATGAGAATGGGCGGTGGGCATATCGAGAGCTGTATGGTCATGTGACTGGTGGATCATTTTTGGTTTGCAAGTGTTTCAGGTGGCAAGTGGCAAAAAAAAAAAAAAAACTCAAAATAAATATAAGGTCTTTGTAACAAACCAGGCCTTCAAAGGAAGGACTGAGAATGCAAGTCTAAGTATTTAAAAAAGATGTAATACAATAATTAAAAATTGAAGAGGGGAAATCCTAGAAGGAAGCTGAGGTACACATAGAAGTGAATGGGGGAAGAGGGCAGAGGCAAGGGTAACTGGCCCCGTGTTTACAGGAAGTACGGCGTTGTCGTCCTTGGTGGGATGACGCGCTCCGAGTCCGGCACGGCACGGAACAGCTTAGGCTCCCGCGTGCAGGCGTCCTTGAACACCATGATGGAGGCGATGTTCCCGCAGCGGTAGCAGTAGTTGGGTGCCGACCACACCGTCACCAGCTTCTCGTCGAACATGAACTTGTAGCCCTCATGGACGAGCTGGTGGGCGCGGCAGATGAGCTTCAGGTTGTTGATGTGGACAAACTGAGGGGTTAAGAAGTTCAAAGAACAGGTCAGGCAGGAGCTGAGCTACCTACCAGACCCTGTCACCCAAAGCCCAGGCCTCCAGCTGAAAGGGGGGATGGGGGACATGTCACAACAGACCTGCTGAAAATCTCAGGGCACACTCCGTTTTGGGCACTCCTTCAGAATAAAAAAAACAATACAACACTGAACCTACACCAACGCTATAATACATAATGTGAGAGGAGTAAAAGGATTAAAATCTAACTAATGTCACTTGTTTTCATGACACTACTGCCTTTTGTTTTCTGACGGTTCTATCTTGCACGGAGTGAAGCTGAACCACTAAGCGTTCCCCTAGTCTCACATTAGTTTCATGTAACCAATAAAATGTTTTGAATCTTGAAAGAAAACACTCCCAAAACTAAGCAACCAATCAGTTTTACACATCTATTGGTGCTTTTCCACTGGCATATAGGAACCAGGCTGTAACTGACTGAGAAGAGAGCCTAGTTACAGCACGCTCCAGCTCTTTTCGGATTTCCACTGCAGAAGGGTCGGCCCGGTAAAGGCGCCACCAGGTTTGGAGAGTGACATTGTTGCAAAACCGAAGAGATGCTTATATACTGTTCACATGGTGTACATCTTGACTTACTATGTGCTAATTTCCTAATTTTCCATCTGTAATTATCGCTGTTTTATGTTAGCAGCAAATGCTAGCAGAATTAACACTAACTTGCATAAATTTGCATTATGAATCCATTCTTTTCAGTCAGTAATTCTCCCGTATTTTAAGTAGGAGACTGGAAATTTTCAAGTTCCGAGTTATCGGATATGTGATACTACCAAAAAGGAATAATATATAGAATATTCTCCATGCATTTCAACTAATCAGAATGTGGTGACGCAACCAACTCGGTTTAGTGGCGCTGTCGGCCCTGCTAGTAAGCAAGGCCATGTCAGCACGGGTACGGGTCAGGTACAGCTCACATAGTGGACAATGGAAAACCGTCCCTTTGTGGTTCGGCTTGGTTCTTGGTGGCAGGGGAAAAGCACTATATGGATAACATGATACAGGCCCGTTTTTCCAGGTTTTCATTGTTTCTGAATACTCCATTTAAGATAAGCAACAATACTGAGCTATATTTTTGTAAACAGACAAGCAGGTCGGATGAAATGGCAAATGGCAATCTGCTGACCTCATTGGTGACCTTGGCACCAAACAGCCACCCGGCACCCCTTGGGCTGATGGCCCAGGTGTCTACGTCCTCCGGGTCTGACCACACCAGATCACAGAACGCCCCCTTGTGCGGGATCTCCTGGTTGCGCTCAATCGTCCGGATCTGGTCCAGTGTCTTGATGTCGGGAGAAAGTCCACCGTGGACACACAGGATCTGCTCGTCGATAAGCTGTTCACAAAGGAGCTTGTAATGAGATGCAGGCTGAAAATGTCCATTTTCTAGATTTGACCATAACCATTGAACCAGCTCTGGTCAAACTTAGCTATAAATCAAACACCAATATTGAACCAACTAGGGGCTCTTCTTCTCTGGATTCCTAAAGCTCCACAGTTCAGCAGACTGCAGAAATGAAGTTAACAAATTCAGGGTTCAATTGGAAAACCTCCCATACTGAAACTCAAACAGAATGGGACAGAGAGAGCCCAGCTTGGTGCAGCAGTACCAAAGACCACACAAACCGTATTACTCACTCTACAGGAGTCCCACAGGCATTCACCACTGCAAGCAGGTACAGGCAGGTAAATGCAGTGACTAGGAGAAAGTGTAAAAACCGGCCCACAATCTTAGTTTTCCTGTCCAGAATTATCAGGTTTAAATAATTCATTGAATGTCAATAAATGATACTTCAATCTTTTTCCAACCTGTGCCTTGTCATTTCTTTCAAAAATTGAACAAAAAATATTCTTTGAAAGTCTTAATTTTTTCCAGCATTCTTCTGTAAAAATTTTGGTTAATTTCACCGTCAATTTTCTCTTTGATGCCTACAAAAACCCCACTAGACTAAGGGCGCTTTTCCACCACACGAGGTACTGTACTTTTGGTACTATACTTCTGCTTTTCCTGTATTTCTGGTCGAGTACCAGTACAAAAAGTTCCAGAACTCAAAATACCAAAGCAACTGGGTTATTTTTTTAGTACTTCAAAACTTTGGGGTAAGACTTGCAAACGTGTTCGTTGTCGAATGGTTAAGGAAATAGCCTGCTTCCGAAACACTATACAACTGCAGTCTTCAAAAAAAGTTACAAAACAATATATTTCTCAAAGTATTAGTAATGGATTAGTGGACAAATGAAGTGAGCGAGCTTTATTTGCGATCTGGTCAGAAGAACAGATTCAACAAGATCAGGACGGCATAACATGAAATAAAAGTATTTTGTATAATAAACTAGGGGGCAGCACAACATTTGAATGCTTGTCAAATACTGTAACGTGATTGCATTGTAATAAATATTGGGGTATTTATAAAGCAAAAAAGCAGTTCAACAAATTTATGACAAACCAGTTTATGAGTGATTTAAGCAGCAAAGATGAAAATGATTATGACTGTATAGTAGAATGCATGTAGGACACATGCAAAAGCACTGGAGGTAAACTTTAAACTGATTTTTTAAACATTTACTAGATAATCTTGAAAAGGAAGAATCATGAAAACTGCAGTGCTTGCTGAGTTTTGTTGCCTATGACAATGTAAAAAAACTATAATGCCCGGACAGCATTAATCCTGATCTCAACCCAGTTGACTATCACGGTCCTTGTGATATGAGAATTGCATGTGTATAACATGTGATGCTGGTATTAATCGCAAAATTAACCCAACACCTTGAAGTACCGTACTTTTCATACCTTCTTGAAGTACCAAAAGCACGTTACCTAGAGCAGGGCAAAAGTGCCCCAAGTACCAAGATAAAGTGTGAAAATGTTTTTCAGGAGATTTGTAGTGAAATCCCACGATTAACCACAGATACCCACCATGGAAATGAAAGTGAGGTCCCCAAACATCAAGTTTGGGCCATACCCAAAATCCACTAAAAACAGCCCCTTTATCTGTACATCTTTAGGTGGTATCGAAACAATACATTCATATATTACATGCAACCTGTGGGAATTTTCAATTTCATCCTGCCGGCACCTACTTTTACAACATTTTGGCCATTTATGGCAGCTGCATATGTAGGTGCAGCTATCTCAGAGCAGCCAACCCTGGCTCCCAAACCACCACACCAACTACTTACCCCCTCTACGTGAGGGGCGCAGGCAGAGCGAAGCAGACCCTGCACTGACAGAGCTGCCTGTAGGCGTGCTGTGCCCAGGCAGATCCAGCAGAGGGGGGAAGCATTGCACTCACCGCCGCTACAGTCAGCATGTCGAACACCTTTGTGCAGTATCGCCAAGCATTCGCATTGCCGTATTTTGTTTGGCACTCATCTGGAATGGAAGAGGAAGTCAGAGCTCAGTGGGGATTTTCATTATGATTTCTTATAGAAGAGATACCTTAGGGAAATTGAGTAGCTTTCGCACAACCCTATATACAGGTGTTTTGGGGTCAGAGCACAGGGTCAGCCAGCGTCTAGCACCCCCAGAGCAGCTGGGGTTAGGGTCTTGCTCAAGAGTCAACATTGAGATGATCATTTTAAGAACATTTGTTTAATGTGAATATAAGGCCAAAGGCAGCATTTAACCTACTGCCAGCGGCTCTCTGCCTCATCATA